GGAGAAGTATGACTTGTTGCTTTTATTCTAACAGAAAGTAAGTCAAAGATCAAAAAGTTAGCTTAAATGCATGGATAATATTTGTTCTAGAACAGCAGTTCTCAACCCGTGGGTCGTGACCCCTTTGGGGGTCGAACGACCCTTTCACAGGGGTCACCTAAGACCATCGGAAAACACATATATAATTATATATTGATTTTGTGATTAATCACTATGCTTTAATTATGTTCAATTTGTAACAATGAAAATACATCCTGCATATCAGATATTTACATTACGATTCATAACAGTAGCAAAATTACAGGTATGAAGTAGCAACGAAAATAATTTTATGGTTGGGGGTCACCACAACATGAGGAACTGTATTAAAGGGTCGCGGCATTAGGACAGTTAAGAACCAGAAGGTATTTACTTGATGCTACCTTTGTTCTTTAGAACTCCAGTGGTAAACTTACTGACTTCCTGAGCTTCTACACACTCCCCTCCACAGTCATGCACCACCCTGCTCATAAGAGCCTCAAGGCTGCCTACTCCTTCTACAACATTCACACGGAGACGCCCCTGTTAGACCTCATGAATGATGCGCTCATTATAGCTAAATTGGTAAGCAATTCATTTATTTTTGTCCTGTGTTTTTCCAAATATGTGTGTGTAAGTATATAAAGCATCTTAGTGTATTTTCTTTCACACAAGAGGAATTAATTTGAATGTTTGTTTATTACTTTTGACCATCGGTCAAAGGAAGAATTTTGATAAGTTTCTTGTAAAATTTCAGTGGCTATTTTCACCATTAATTCTATTGCAACTTAACCAAAAAGTCATTTTGTATAAAGTAGATACTTTAAACATTTACATAAGAGTACATAAAACCCATAAGAAATATAAGATAAATACATGATCCCATGATATAAGGAAAATACATGAGTATTTGTTTTATAGTGAATAATTAGCATCAATCAGTTTTTTTATTTAAATAAATGGTCTCTGAATTTTAAAATGAAAGGGACTTTATTTTTAAAGGGGATTATTGTCAAAATCAAAGGACTTTAAAATGAAAGGAATTAAATTCAAAATATGCCTTATTATATTTATATATTTTTTTATTTCCTCAGTGTCATAGTTAGGACAATTTAAATTCTTGCTTCAAATAAACATTTTCCTTTAAAAAATAAATTAAAATCAGTAGACAGATACATTTTATACATTTTAAAGTAATTATTGAATATGAGAAAATATTCATGAGAAGTTGGGAACAACACCTCAAAAGTGTCTTCCTTGCATTTACTTGTATTTGATCAGTTTTTTAAAAAAACACATAAAACACCAATTACTAGTGGATCCCCAAATCAACATTATCCTGATTATTTCATCCTATTGCTCATTTTCAACTACTTCCCCCAAAAGGCCAGTCATTAGTTATTTAATGTAAAAAGCCCTAAGACATAGAAATTTAGGTGCTTCATGTATATCACCTTTTGCATAGTACTATCTAACATTTTAAAGACATTAGATTTCTACTATTAAATTTTATAAAATTTATTTTCCATTATCAGCCCAAGACAAATATACTATTTAAAGAGTTTACAACTTTGGTTTCTTGGCTGTAACTTGAGCTAAGTCAGAACTTAGACCAGTAACAGTTTTGGAGATGGAGCCATCTAGGCGTTTGTTCCTTCTAAAACAGGAACAAATATTTTCTGAACTTTTAATAGATTTTGTTATGTCACTGTTAGCCAGCATACTATAGTTTAATTCAGCATTGCTGGATAGCTGACTTCATCAGATTCGCTGCTAGTTATATAAGACAAATTTACTGCTAGTTATATATAACTGAATTCTTAACCTATATCAGTGATGGCGAACCTATGACACGCGTGTCAGAGGTGACACGCGAACTCATTCTTTTGGTTGATTTTTCTTTGTTAAATGGCATTTAAATATATAAAATAAATATCAAAAATATAAATCTTTGTTTTACTATGGTTGCAAATATCAAAAAATTTCTATATGTGACACGGCACCAGAGTTAAGTTAGGGTTTTTCAAAATGCTGACATGCCAAGCTCAAAAGGTTCGCCATCACTGACCTATGTTATATATATTACAGACATTGAATCTTATTATAAGTGCATATTTATGTTATAGGAATTCAATGTTATGCTGAAATACTTAATACAGAAAACACTCTAGTCTTTTGAAATTTTCAATCCTTTTTACATTGGCAGAAAGGATTTGATGTATTCAATGCACTAGATTTGATGGAAAATAAGACATTCTTGGAAAAACTCAAGTTTGGAATAGGAGATGGCAATTTACAGTATTACTTGTACAACTGGAGGTGTCCAGGAACAGATTCTGAAAAGGTAAGAAAAGTTGATATATGCTTTATAAACTTAATATATTTATCTAGGAAATTCCATACTTCCCTTAGGATTATTAATTTTTTAGTAGCTTTTAAAAAACACAGGTCTATTGTACTACATTATAACTTAACTAGAGGCCCGATGCACAAAATTCGTGCAAGAGTAGGCCTACCTTCCCCCGGCTGCCGGCACTGGCTTCCCTCCAGCCGCTGGCAGGCACCCGGGATCCGGGCTTCCCTCGCAGTCCCAGCTTCGCCCGGAAGTTTGTCAGGAAGGATGTTCAGTCTAATTAGCATATTACGCTTTTATTCTCTCTTGCTTGCCTTGTCCTTACTATTCCATTTCTTCCCTTCCTTTAGGTTGGACTTGTATTACAATAGATGGATGTTTCCATTCCTAGAACTCTGATACCATCCATCATCATTTGTTAATATTCTATTTAATGATTCCTGGAACTGTCATTCCAAAGAATAAAAGCACAACCTAAGTGAAACCGATGCAGTCAGTAATAATTGGAAAAGATGAAAAAACATCCATGTGTGACCAATACTACATATGTCTAGCTAGAATGTTAACATTCTTCCTTTTTTTCACTGTTTACCCATTTGAAGGAGGGATGAAAGAGTACAAAGAGCACATTCCTCTAATTTTCAAACTTTTGACCGTCTCTTGAAGGTATTTTTCCATTCTCTAGAAAGGGCCTTTTTTTTTTTTATGGATGGAACAGAAGTCACAGACTTGTGTAAGAAAATCTTGGCTAATGTATGGAGATAAACTGCTGCATTTCTATTTATCAAGTGATGGTCTTTTTGTCTGTGTAACAGAATAAAGGATCCAATTGGGAAATTTTTCTTCCTATCATCTTCCATGCTATCATTGGAGACATTTCTGGAATCAGCATTTCCACAACTCCATGATAAGTGCTGGGTGTTTGTGTGTAGAGCAAGATAAAAATGTACTGGTGACTAGTACATTTATTTCTCCAGAAGCAAAGTTGCCAAATCAATAAACACACAAATTTGTACTTTAATGTTCAACAGGTTGGTGGATGGGTTCAAAAGCAAAGTTTTGTGCAAACATGAAATGTGCTCTCTGAAAGAGTATGCACCATGACTAACTAGACTTTGCTGCTGCTGCACAAACTTGTTTCTTTTCAGGAACAGCAAGGATATGTGAGGAAAAGAAAATAAGTGCTAAAGTCAAAGGAACTGCCCAGTGGAATTTATTAGTGCTATCAGGATATTGATAGTTTGAATGTTTTTATTACTTATGCAAAATTGCACATATTCCTTAATGCTGACTTTAATTTATCATGAAAGCTGTCATGCTAATAGAAAATGTCTTATTTGTAAATAAGTATTCATACTTTTGTTACTGATGGTGTTTTTATCTAGAATTTGAAAAAAACAAGTTTCACAGTGTACATATATATATATATATATATATATTGTCAATAGTCCAAGGAGAAAAAAGATGCTAAATGAGGCCATATAAACTGGCCTTGACTCATTCCACGAAGTAGTTACTTTTTTCTGCCTTCCCTCTTCCAGTGCCTAGGCTGTTCTGTCCAGAAAATTTTAATTATTTTAGACAACATGATGGCTTTTCCTTCATGTTATAAGTAGTCAAATGAAACCAGTCCTATCTTATACCAGGCAGGGGCTAGCAAACTATAGCCCATCACCCTAATCCAGCCCATCACATGTTTTTGTACACCCTAAGCTAAAGATGGTATTTACATTTTTGAGTGGTTAGAGGAAAATAATAACATTTTGGGATACATGAAAGTTGTATGAATTTCAAGTTTCAGCATCCATAAATAAAGTTTTATTGGAACACACACTCATTCACTTATATACTGCCTGTGGCTGCTTCATGCTACAAAAGACAGAGTTGATTTGTTTCAATAGAGGTTGTATGAACCAAAAAGTCTAACATATATGCTATCTGGCTTGAAAGAAAAATTGTTGATCCTGATTTACATTAAGGAGCTGAAAGCTACTTTCTGCAGCTTGCCATTAACCAACCGGCCAATCCAGGGCTTGTGGTATCCTTGAGACTACCAGTAGAGGGCGCGCGTAGGCCCCACAGTAGAGCGTACTCAGATAACTGTGTACTTTCTTGAAGACATAAGGGAAGAGTTCTTATTTAGGATGATTCAACCCAATGGTATTACTATTTTTCCTTAACAGAAGATGAAAACTTCAAGAAGCAAAACTGAACCAATTCACTGAAACTTTTTTGAGATACCAGAATTAAATGAGATTTTAACTTAATCTGAAGCCAAGGCACAGTTGGGAATTATGTTCCATTCATTTTTATAGCACCAAGTCATACAAAGGGAGGTTTTCAAATAATTGTAGAATTGCCAGTCAGAAATTTTGTCACGGGCTAAAATTCCAATTTTATTGAAATCTTTTTTTTTTCTCATTTAAAAATAACTAGCACATTTGCCTCTATAATTTAAGCAAATTATCAATGAACATTTAAAAATAATCAATAAAACTGCTGTGTTTAAGTAGCTATTAGAACTAAATTTCAGTGTAATATAGTGTTTTACATATTCAAAAACCTACATTTGTCCTGCATCCTTTGTCAATAATGAAAATACTCAATTTCTTAAGGGATTTTTTTTTTTGCCACGATAGTATTCAGTAAAATTTAAATGAGTGGAGGTGGCATAATTCATGCATCAAACAGAATTAAAGCTGAAAATAAACTCTGGCCACTCTTCCCCTTAAATTAGAAAAAGTTACTTTTTCAAGCACACACTGTAGGTAGCAGACACTGTCATAACCAGAGTACTGATTATGCTCCATTTCCTAACACGAAGGACGCCCATCATTGTACAGTCTCGCCTCTGAGAATCCAAGCTCCGTTTTTTTATTTTCTTCCTGCCTCATTTCACCTGATTACCATCACACTTTTTATACATGTTAAATTTTCAAGGAAATGTTAACCATGTAAAGGGGTGAATTCTAACTAGTCAAAAGACCTTATCTGGCTTTTCCTAAAGGTGTCAAGCCTTTCTCCCAAGCCAATGCTTAGACCTACCCAAAGGAAGTAAAATAGAAGGAAGTAAAAACCTGATGTATTGTTTCTGAAGACAATGTATTGCTTAGCATTTAGTATCTTTCCTTTAAAACTGATGGCGTATCTGCAGTCCAGTTTCATCTACTCTAATTTGAACCATGTGTACTGTGGTACATTTTCTAAGTTTGAGAGAAAGATGTTAAGTGCTGTAGGATACAGATGTTTTTGCTCACAAGCATTGTACCAACCTTTAAAAAGTGAATCTATACAAGCATGGACATTAGTGTCAATAAACTTTTGATATGCATACTTCTGAATATTTTCTGCATTTAGTGTTTTTAAGCTTCAGCATATCTGTGCTGTATAAAAAGTCTTATGCATTTGAAAGGAACATTTACCAAACAATCTCCCACAAATCTATGTAAAAGTAATTCAGTTTATTAGCTTCAAGGTTTTTTACAAGGTGTCATTTTCCAATTGTATGTAGTGACAAATTTATACATGACTACTTTGAAGTAATTTTTTTACTTTTGGGTGGTTTCCTTTTTTTATTAGGGTTTGGAATCAGTTTCTTTATTTTAAGGGGTTGTAGCACTGCAGCCTGCTGACCTTCAGTGAGCTTTCTCTTACGTTTAGAGAGGTCTTCAAAGGAAGTGTCCCAAATCTCTCTGTCTTGGCTTTCCAAAGATTCAGACTCTGAATTTTCCCTGGAGTCTTCAAGTCTGTCTTGAAGCCATGGTACATTTAAATTGGGTACTCTGGGGATTATAGCTTTCACTTCATTGACAAAGTCAGTGGTGTTCTTTTTGAATCCCAAAGCTAGTACACATTTTAAGCCAATGACAGGCGCAATTCTCTCACTGAGACGGGGAACCTGACAAGCAGGGACCGTTCTGCTTAAACTTAACTGAATCAGGTGTGAGGTGATGATCGCAGGCTTGACTGACTTACACACTAAAACCAAAAGCAGTTCGTTCCTTTCCAGAGCCCTGGTGACTTCATTAACACCAATGGCAAGCTGCTTCCTCACATGGACAGAAGTCCACCCTGATACTTGTTCATTATCTTCTGTTTTTTTCTCCTTCAGATCCTCACTCATATGAACATCTATGCTACATTTGTCTCTGCCTTGTTTTTTAAAAAACTGCTTTTTACTTCTTTTCTTATTCTCAATTTTCTCAAGTCCAATTGATTTAAATCTGTCTTCAAGTGTCTGTAAGATGAAGTGCAAATCCTCTCTCTCCAGAGCACTCCAGCAGATAGTATACGGGTTGTTCAATGATGTCTTTACAGTTAAAGGTCTTGTCTTCCGAACCGAGCCCCTCCCTGGTGCCTGAGGAGCTGCAGCCATTATAAAAATCCTTCACTGAGAAGCAAAACGACAAAGGACAATTGTTAACTAGCAGTGCATGTTTTAAGAATATCCTGGTTATACTTGTTCTGATTCTTTACAGGCTACAGCAGGCCTAATCATAGAGGACCAATTATGTGGCCATACACTTGACCTCTCTTTTTAAGATTCAGTAATTTATTTTCCCCATTTTTTTTCATGACTGTTTTTATTCATATATAGGCCATATATGAATGTTTTGCATTATTGCAATCACAGTGAAATTCTATTTGTTTATTTAGTTTATTAAAAATGTTTCATGTTGCCCTGACCCGTGTGGCTCAGTTGCTTGGGTATTGTCCCATGCACTAAGGGTTGCTGGTTTGATTTCCAGTAGGGGTTGTGGGATCGATCCCCAGTAGGGGGTGTGCAGGAGGCAGCCAATCAATGTTTTGCTTTCACATGGATGTTTCTCTCCCTTCCTCAGTAAAAATCAATAAAAATATTATTTAAAAATAAATAAATAATTTTCTGTGTTCAGAATTAGCGGTTATCCTCTTAATGGCTGTATGATACTAATCTCATAGATTTGTTACCATTCTCTAAATTCCTCTCTAGTTAGGCTTCCATTCATCCATTCAACAAATACTCACTGAGCACCTCCAAATGTGCAGGCAGTGTTCTAGGCCCTGGGGTTCAGCATGAACAAGTCCCCACATCCACCCACATAAGTCCCCTTGTTCACCTGCATGGAGCTCACAATCTGTGAGGGCCCTGGAAGCTTCTGCCATTAATGATTAACTACATGTGATTTTTTTAAAAAACTTAAATAGTAACATCTGCACATGATTGAAAATTCAAATGATACTTTCATTTTATGCCTCTTGTAAGTCCTCCTCCCTGGACTCTGAGTTTCCTATATATTCTCCCTAAAACATTTGATACACATACAGATGGACAGCCCCCCTTCCTACAGTTATTCCAAGCCAACTGCTCCTCCAGCTGGCAATTTGATGAAAACTAGCAAGATTTTGTAACGAAATTTAAAGATATTAATCCATTAGGGAAAAATAACCAGAAGGAGCCTTACTGGGAAAATGTTATAAAACACTGGTGTAGCCCAGTGGCTGAGCATCAACCCATACACCAAGAGGTCTCCTGTTCAGTCCCCAGCAGGGTCCTGTAAGAGGCAGCGGTCAATATTAATTTTTCTCTCTCACCAAGGTTTCTATCTCCCTCTGAAATCAATAAACAAAACACACCAAAACCCACTAAGTCTAGGGAGTATATCGTATTTCTCCTTCCCAGAGACAACTGCATATTCCTTTCTCTTCACTCAGTTTTCTTCCTCACATTCTTTCTGGAGCTCAGGTAACAACCGTAGGGACCCACGTGGCAAAACTCAAGGAAGTTAAGCCAGCTGTGGAGACATCTGGAGTTTGGAACTACCTACGTTCAGGTTTCTCATTCCAGATATTCCCTCATTTATACCACTGAGCCTCCCCTCCCTGGAACACTCCAGGCAGGGTTAGGAATTAATCCTCTCCAACTGAACTCCTGCTTACTGGGCTGTCTACTGATGTTGACAAGCAAGTGTCTCTGTGGAATGTCAGAATTTATAAGGTACTTGCTCCATGTGTTGAGTCTCACAAATTTCCTGTATAATTGCCCAGCATGTGGATGAGGAAACAGACTCGGGTCAAACACCTTGCTTGAAGTCACAGCTGGTTTCCAAATCTAAATTTTATGCTCTCCCAATCCTGGCTGCACTTCAAAAATAATCTGTGGCCTTTAAAACATAGAGATGGTTGGTCCTTACACTCGATCTACTCAATTGGAGTCTGAGAATAAGGCTGGTGCATCTGGACTTGTAAAAAGTTGCCTGGGTGAATGTGATGCAGAACTGGAATTAGGAACCACAGGTGTAGGACAGGAGGCTTATCCACACTGGATAGCTCTAAAAATGGTCTCCTGACCTCTCCTGGTCTCCACAGATCTCATTCATATCAGTATCATGTCCACTGCTAGAGGCTATCTGCAGTCTTCAAACCAGCCACATGCACAGCCCGCCCCTACACCCATTCTCTACATGCTCCACTCAAGCTCAGGGAACTGGGAAGTAGCTCATTCAAATCCAAGGCTGGTAGCAGCTTTAAGGTGGTCAGGAAGACAAGCAAGACAAAAATGATCTGCCCTAACCGGTTTGGCTCAATGGATAGATCATTGGCCTGTGGACTGAAAGGTCCCAGGTTCGATTCCGGTCAAGGGCATGTATCTTGGTTGTGGGCACATCCCCAGTAGGAGGTGTGCAGGAGGCGGCTAATCAATGTTTCTCTCTCATCGATGTTTCTAACTCTCTATCCCTCTCCCTTCCTCTCTGTAAAAAATCAATAAAATATATATTTTTTTAAAAAGATAAAAATGATCTAACAGAGAGCTCTTGCCAAACTGCAAGTCAGTTAATGTATCAACATTCAAAGACAGAATAAATACTTACAGTTATGTGCTCTGGAGAGAAAGCAAGATATGCATTAACTCCTTCTGTCTTCAGAATCTGGTGGGGGAGATGAGAACCAAGTTCAGATAAGCAGAACCTTAATGCCCTATAATGCACCAATACTCACTGGTAAAGAGGAGTAACAGCTTTGGAGGAGAAAAATAGGAAGCCCTTGCTGAGGTGCCTTTGGGGCTGACTGGAGGCCTCTACTGCCTATGGATCAAGTTCAAACCCTTTAAGGCCCCCCACACACTGGCCCGTCTCCCCACCAGCCTTTCCCCTTAGGTGCCCCAACACACATTATATCCCACCACTGGGCCACATGCTACTTAATGAGGTCATCCGTTTCTCCTCTCCGTGTCGTTATGCACATTATTCCCTCTGCCGGGAAGACTCCTCCCATCCTCAGCCTCACAGCCCCTTTTCTTACTTCAACTATTTCTGGATTACCCACAGTACAAGCCATGAAATAGCACAGAAAAACAGTCACTGGCCTCACTGAGCTTAGACTCTATGAGGAAGACATACCAGCAGATAATACAGTAAGACATTCAGACCAGGGAACGACAGGGCCCTAAGGGGACATAGCAGAAGCCTGGCTTAGTGGAGGGGGTCAGGAGGGGCCTCCTGGAGGAAGTGACCCTTTGACTAAATCCTGAAGAATGCCTACCAACGGGAGCACCAAAGTAGAGTGTCCGAGGAACAGCATTAAAGGAGGTAAGTCAGTGTCAGGGGCAGATGCTAGGGAAGGTGGGTAAGCACCAGGTGGCGAAGGCCCTCGAGGGCCTTCCAGCGGGAGCAGAGGAGGGGCAGGACTAGGAGAGCACAGCAGGAAGACCTCTGTGGACTGGGCTGTAGGAGGGTCCTGTGCCAAGACTGGACGCAGTAAACAGGCCCCGGAGAGTCCTAGTAAGAAATGATGGCGGGCCCTACCCCGCTGGCTGCGGAATGAAGGGCTCCTCCCCAGTGAGGGGCGTGCAGGAGGCAGCGGTCAGTGATTCTCTCTCATCACTGATGTTTCTCTCTCCCCTTCTCCCTTCCTCTCTGAAATCAATAAAAATATATTTTTAAAAAAATAAAAAGGAATGATGGTGGCCTGTAGATGAGTAGTTGCAGAGGGGACGGACAGAAACACATGCTAATTAAAGCAGCTAAGAGGTGACATCTACCAGACACAGTGATCGACCCGGAGGAACGCAGAATGGCCTCAGGGCCACTCCCGGCCTCTAGGTCCTGCGGGAGGGGAGGCCGGCGCAGAGTGCACCCTCCCCGGGTGTCTGGTGCCTTCGGTACGTCACCGTTTAGCCTACACGACCGCAGTCGTTCTGCTGCCCGTCTCCACCCCAGGCTGTGCGGCCAGAGGGAGGCTCAACCCCAGGCCGCGCATGGAGCGGG